GATTGTTCATGGAAGCATGTCTTACACTATGTCTGACCTATGACCACCCTAATGCCTCATGTCTCCAAATGTATTGAAAAACATGTTGATATTTTTCTCTATAGTTTCACTTTATTTGGGAAGTGAAATAGAGCAAAACAGACAATACTGCATTCACCAAACAAACATCAAAATAGTAACAGGTGATTTATCACACAAACACAAAACAAGCAGACACAGAACAAATAAAAGAGAAGGAAGAGAAAAAGAAGACACTGTGTAATGAGTTAGAGCCCAGACTAACTCAGGCTATCTTTAATCTTTGGTGAGATATCAGAACTGCTTAGATGGTTTTCTATCATTTCTGGCTAACAGTACAGGCTTGAAAGAGTAAAGGGAGAATGTCGGGGTGAAATTGTGTGCTATTCCTAGAACCATCTGCTTTTTCTACTTTTTTTTCCTCCTCATTCTGTGGCATTCAGCTGTTCTTTGTTGTATAGGAATAAAAGTTCAGTTCTGAAAACTGAACAAAGTTGTAGAAATTGCCTGGAGGAATTTCCTCCACTTTCAGCCATCTGGCTTTCATTGTTTCGCTTATCTCTCCACTACTCCATACATGTTTACCAAATCTTTTCAACACACATTGACTAAGCTATTGAGCAGTTATAATGAATGACACAGTTACAACATTCTCTTTCAGCCCTCTGGTAGAGTTTGTTGGCTCACCATGAGGTGCTCATGCTGTTGCTGTTATAAATAAGAGCAATCATATCTGATTAGATGATGACTGCCTCTGTAATTTGGGTTGTGGAGGCTGAGGAGAAGACATATTTTGGCTGTGAGTCACTCTGTTGTTGAAAACAGCAAAATCAATGTTGAAACAGGGTTCTTCCAATTGTTTGGGGGATTTTTAATTTTTTTTTGAATAATTTAGAAAACAAACATAGCAATTAGCAAAACTGAGTGTGTTTTTTTGTGTGTGTGTGTGGTTTTTTTGTTTAGAGAAGAAACTTCTAGACATTGAACAGCTATTGCGAGTTTACTTCTGGGAAGACTGTGCTCTGCTCAAGTACTGCTATGTAATTCTAGAAATGATGGAGCTTGATTTACACAAACTAAGTATCTGAATGACTGAATTAAAATGCTTATAGTCTTCAGTCCTCTCTCTCCTGTAGAAAGCAGTTTGGGTCTCCCAGTACATCAAACCAAGCTGTATCCTTTCTACAGAAGAACTAAACAAAGGCATACCAAGTAAATGAAAATGAGTTTTACTCTGTACCTATTGTGTTGAAAGTCAGTTACCAGCTCCCAGTTTAGCAATCAGCTCTGTAGTGCCCTATTTCTTAGTTCAGTGCAAATCAGGAAATTTTGTCATACTGTTTTCCAGAAGAAGAGGGACTGGACTCTTTTTCTGCTATTGTTCTTGAAGCAATAAGCAAAAAACTCTCAACAAAATCTGAAACCACGGAAGACTCAGTTGAGATTTCAATATGGATGAAATCTTCCAATTTTTGTGTACAACTCTTCCTGATTCTTATCCAGACATCTGTGAATATCTAAAGACAGATTTCTTTGGTTTAGTTTTTCTATCTCTCTTCCATGTACCCAGAATAGTAATATGCTAAGATATTAAGCCAGAATTTCAATGGAAATTATAAAGTGCAAGCACCATCACCTTCCAGTGTTTTCATAAATCTGAACTATTGCCAGTATATTTCAGCTTTTACCATATTTTGATCCAAGAGAGATCAAAGCAATTAGGAATTGAAAAGGATGATGATACCACAGGCTAGTTTCAAGATAAAGTACTAAGTGAATAATGAAGTCTTCTAGTTTATCCCCACTTATTCTCAGTAGGGAGCAAAATGAACAGCAACAGTGCAGATGCCTTTAGTATCATTCTTCTAAGGGGTCCAAAAAATGATGAAACAAAACCAGGACGAAGTTACTCTTTGCTGACTACTTCTACAGTATTTGTCTTGGAGTGTATGCCTTCTGATGCCTCCAGAAAGGCTGCTGAGATTCTCTGGTTCGATGCTTTTGTTTATCTACATTAAAACACATTTGTTTATCTATATTACAACAATTGTTTATTAATTATTTATTATTCTATATTGAAACAATTGTTTATGGCGTCCATGATGAATTTTTTGAGAGGCTACAGAAAATATCACATGTAACCAAAAATGTCTGTAGCAGAAGGAGCATTAAGCTTTGAAGTTCTAATATTTAAATGTTCTCTTTCTTAAGCTAAACAAGATCTTGAACTGTTATAAATTCTAGACATAAGCATTAAATTCTAAGCAAGCTGGGCTGTTTAGGTTCAAGAAACGTCACTGGAATAATATCTCTCAATATATCAGATGGAATTTTTATTCTCTTAAACAAGAATTCTCAGCTTTTTCTTCATGCTGTGGAGAACAGCTCCTTGTCTACCAAGACATTCATCACCATCTTAGTTGCCATTTCCTGAGACTGCCTTCTCTACCCACAACAACTGTATGCTCCAACAGTCACTTACAGATCAAGAACATTCTAAGAAAGTGGGGGGTTTTATATTTTTAGTTTCTGCTTATGCACTTCAGCAGCTGGAAAACAGAGAGAAGAGCCAATACTATGAGACTATCCAGCTCTCTCTATAAGTCATCAGCAAGAGATCTGGAAAGTATCAATGGTTCAGAGATTTTGGAAACTCCTATAAAGAAATCTAAGTTCACAGCCACAGTGTATTACAATTTTTAGTAGAAATGCCTTCATCAGCATTCATAAGGACAGGATTTTAATCTAAATTTCCATCAGACACCTGGACCAAGATTTCTTGAATTAGAAAGCTCTAAGGCCTTTTTTTTTTGATAAGTATTAAGGCTGCATTAATTAATTACTATGAAGAAAAAATCTGTATACACTCATACACTATTGATTTACCAAGGTCATGGGTTTGATCCCTGTATGGGCCAATTATGTAAGAGTTGAATTTGATGATCCTTGTGGGTCTCTTCCAACTCAGAATATTCTGTGAAACCTATATAATATACCATTGTATTTAATACAGTGTCATTAGCAGCCATAGCCCTTCAGAAGCTTGCACAAAATAAGGGATTTATCCTGTCACAGTACGCCAGGGAGACAAATAAACTTGTCTTCTTGCCTTTCTTTCTATTAGCCACACTGCCTGCAAGGCCTCCTTGCAAGAAGTTTCAGCCCCCTTGCTTTACATTAGCTCCACTCTGGTAGCAAGGTTACCACACTGCTGTGAATTATCACACAGACTAATTCAAGAAGTATTCACACAATTACTCAGATTACTTTTATAAGTAATTCACATAAATACTGGTCTACATGAGTGTGTTTCATTTTTTCTTATTTTTTTCTTATCCACTGAGTATTTATTTTCCATGTCAGAATTGTTGGCTGATCAATCTTCTACCACACACTCTCAGCTCCACTGATGCTGCTAACCTATCCATTATCACAAGACTTCCACCTACAAAGCTATTTTTAAATATTTATATAATATTTGTGTATTATTTCCAGCAATAAAGACAATTTAACAAAGTGAGTGTTGCAATATCCTCATAAGCAATTCCTGTAATGCTTCAGTGAAAAGCGTCAACATTCTTGGTTCTTCTTGTCACAGACTCAAAATCCTGATCATCCAACCAAACTTACTTCTGACCTTGTTGTTCTTTCATGCTGGATGTATTTGGTGCCATCTTTGATTTTTAATGTGAACCTTTTTTGCCTACCAAAAATCCAAAAACTATTATTCAAAATGACATACCTCTGTGTAGCCTGCTGTCTAATAAAGCACATATATACCTGCCGATGTACACTCCAAACAATAACTACCACCTGGACAGCTGACTGTTTTAAATAGTCCAGAATTATAAATAAGTGTATTTGGTTTAATACTGAAAGAGTGTAAATACACCTGTGTACAGCTGGGAAATAAGACAACATATATACAGGACATCTTGAAGATCTGACAGGTCCCATTTAAAAAAACCTCAAGAACCTCATGACATCTATTTTCTGTTGTAGAGGGTATAGATGTGAATCTCTGCAAACAAATATCTGGTGTTTTCATGGTCATAATTGTGGAAGCTGCCTGAGGCTAGGGAGGAACAGGTTCTGCAAAATCTGTTCTGAGAGAGGAGGTTGGAAAAGTCTCCTTAAACTTGACAAAACTCTGCGTATTAGGTCAATCTACAAATTCTCTGCTTGAAGAACCTAAACAGGCAAGCAGTCTGAAGTTTCCCCTTTGGTATTACTGCTGCTTTGCACTTCCTGGTCAATATGACTGTAAGTACTCTGCAGTCTAAGAAAGAGCATACCTGAGCCACACTGTGTGCCTCCAGACTAAAAGACCATAGAGTGTGGGGGTACAACTTAAAATTCTTCTTTTTTGTACTGCTAATGTTATTTAAAAGGCTCTGGACAACATACTAGACTATACAATCACTCACACATGCATATTTATTTTGCTTTTGCCATGGATTCCTCAAAATCCATTAAGTGATATCCAGATCAAAGAACCCTGGTCCTTGGATCATCACCTGTGATGTGACTGTCATCATCTGTGATCTGAAAAGTGATTGAATGTCATTGAATTCAACATTTTCTCTATTTCTTAGGGTGGTGGTTTTGTTTTATCAACAGTGACATGGCTGTGTAGATCTGCTACGTCATGCAAGCAGCAGAGTTTTATTCACTCACATCACCTCTACTTACTTCATGTCAGTGAAGAGAAGTCCCAGGGCAACAACACAGATCTGCTGAGCCCAGACAGCTGAGTCTATGGTACTGCACCCTGGGGAGCCATCTCAGCCTCTTGTCTGCATGTTTTACTTCCATACTTCAGCAGTCACTTCAGTAAAGCCCAGATCTAAGCACTCCTGTCCCCAGAGGTCTCAGACTCATGGGTAACTTAAAGATCAGCTTCTCAATTTCATCAGTGATTGCAAATCTCTTAAATCTGGGAAAAAAACCTTGTGCCTGGTGATACCACATAGGAACCCTACCTTGGGGGACAGGGGTCCACACTACAGGCTTTCAGCAGCTGTGGAGGACGGCGGCTGGTTACACACAGTGTCTCATCCGCAGTCTCCCTGGTTTGTTTGTTCAGACAGGTCACCACAGCCTCCTGGACACCTGCACACAACAAAGCATGGTCACAGACAGCTCCCACACCTGTAGGGGCAGAGGTGGGTCCAACAGGGCCAGCAGGGCTCCAGCGTGTGAGGAAACTCATCCTCACACCCAGCATTGGCAGCTCTGGGGCTGCAGCCCCAGCTGTAGACTTGTTACTGCTTTCAGTGTCTCTGAAAGGTTTCTCAATTGCAGTGAAAAGTCCATGGGTTCATTCACCACTTACCTTCTCTGGACAGAAAATTGTCTGGGGCTCTGCAGTGACTCATTCTTTCCCTAAGGGTGCAGTGAGGCACTTTATTTGTCAGTACAAGCAGGCTAACGTGTGAAGATGGCCTTGGCTTCACTATGCTCTTTTCAGCAACAGTATGATCACTTTAAGTGCAAAAGTAAAGTAAAATATGGTCAGACAGTTCAGCTGTTCTCAGTTATTCATCCACGGACCTGCACCTAAACCTAAAGACACAAACATGCAGGATGTATCTGAGAGCTAGGAAAGAACAAAGGTAGTTTTTGGGATTAAGAGAGAAACTGGAATATTTGGTGATTACATTTTAACTCAGGAACTCCTTGGTAATTCCAAATTCCTTATGTACTCTTTGGTATACCAGTTACTCTGTTTCACTTTTCCTGTGAATAGGAATATTACAGGGTTTTTTTTTAGTAAGAAGGCTGGAAAGCTAGAAAATCAGGGATTGCAACATTACATGCCATAGGGAAGAGGTCTTGTTGAGAAAGGATCTATTTCCCTAGGGGAAAGTGGGATCGGGGTGAGGGGAGGGGGTGTCAAATCCAGACGGGTTAAAACAAAGTGAAGGTATGCTTTTTACATTCATTCCTGCTTCCTGAGCTAGGAAAATATTAGCTGAATTCTTAACAATTACATTATCTTTTCAAACCCAAAAATTAGTTTTCCAAAACATCCCACAATTTTTTTAAGACACACAAAAAAAGAGTGCTGTAAGAGCTTGAACAGCTCCAAGAACAGTGTCACAGAGCTGATGATACCTTTTGCTGTTTCTAATGCCAGCACACATGTTAATAGGTAAACAATGATATCATATTATTCAACAGAACCAAAGTATTGCAGCTGATCATAGTTCCTATGGTCCTGAAATTTTGGATGGATTCACTCCCTTTAATCTCAGTACAGGCTGAGGTCCACAGAAAAGTGGCACGTTAACCACTTTTTTTGGCTCCTGTGTGTGTAATTCTATGCAGCTCATGTCTCTGACACAAGGCTAGGCAGTGTCTCCCCTGTATCTGAGGTACTAAAGAAAAGAAAGAATTTAAAGAAAGAAATTTGATATTTTGGATATGGACATCAACATCAAAATAACCAAAGTCCCTGTAGTCAACTAGTACTGTTTTGGGTTTCCTTCCTTACAAGGTTACCCCATATCTTCAAGCCCTTTTGCTATTCCAGTCATCACCCAAAAGACTTGAGGAAAATTGTAAAAATGATAGCCAATTAAAAGAACACAGCAAAAGGCAGTGATTTATTTGTAGGGAAAGAAATAAATGAAATTTATATATATATGAAAAAGATGTTCGCTACCCTGTCATGTTTATTATCTTTCCAGCTCAATCATTTTTCTGTGAGTATGTTATAACATTGTGCAAACAGAGGCATATGGATTCTCCAGAATGAACTGGTCCTGGCTGTAAGAACAGAAGTGATTCTCTACCTGAGGGGAAATGGCACCATGTCCAAATTACTGGTCTCTACTTTGCATGGAATATTTGTGCAGGCCTGACAGAAAGACTAACTAATTTGATGAAACCAGGAGAGAAGGACTGCTGATGCAGAGGTATGGAAACCATGAAAGTGCTTTTCTAATTTTTGTGGAAAGAAACCACCGACTTCTGACACATTCCAGTAACATTATTCTGTCTGCTAAGTATACAGCTCACTCACCTTCTATATTTTATTCTCACACCAAAACCTTGTAAACTGAGTGCAGTTCCACAGCTTTAATTTCTCCTCCTTGAAGCACGTCACTAATGAAGTCTTGATAAATTATTATCAATTACCTTAACAATTTTCCATTGTCTGTTTCAATGCTGACTGCTGAAAAGTGACTGAATGTGACTGAATTCAACATTTTCTCTATTTCTTAGGCTGATGGTTTTGTTTGATGGCTAAATTCATGTAGCCAAACTCTAATACTACTGTTCTTCACTTTGCAGTATTCAGCCAACCCTAAACCTCCCAGTAAGTTCATTCCCCATGCTTCTATCTGTCATTTAAGTCATCTCTGATTGTAATTCCAATAATTTTTGTCTATACTGCAAGAATTCTACACTGCTTTTTAAAATTTCCTTTTACCTTTCAAAGGTACTGGTAGGACCAGTAAACTTGCCTGACAGTCACAGGTGTAAAAGAAAAAGGTTCTTGTGTGATTGTGGTGACTAGACTATGTATTGACGCTTTTGCCTCTAACAGCTTGTGCCAGGAACTGGGGGGGGGGGGGGGGAAATCTCACTTACTCCAGTAGCAAAAAATCTGCTCAGAATCACTTTCTTCAGCTTCCTTTTGAATCTCACAATAAGCTGACATCAATATGTCTCAGCATATTGATAATGACTGTCCTTCTATTTGGACAGGTAATGTAGCAAATAGTTATAAGCTTTAAACCAGGGATGGCTCATCAAACATTGAGAGAATATAAAAACTTTAGATTGTACATTAGAAGTTCCACAGTATTATCTCCACAGAGATAATTAAAAAGGTATATGAACTTTAGGAAGTTTATTTGCTAGGTAACTGAATTTGAAACATTATTTACTGCATAATATTATCAAAACAAAAAGCTGTCTCTTTAAAAGTGTTTTCCCTGAAAAAAAGAAATCAGTCCTCAACAGGAAATCACAGTATAAAAATATGTAATCTAGGCAGTTTCCTTTTCAAAATATCATCAAATGAGAATTTCTATGTGTATATCTACCAGAACAGAATAATTGTTACATGATATTTGATGACAGCTCTAGGAAACGAAGCCACTAACAGCAGACTAAATGACTAACTCATCCCATGAGTTTGCTGCTTCTAGGAGGTGAAAGGTTACTTCTGTACCTATTCTGTTTTTTCTCGTGGATTCCAAAGGCAATAAAATTAACTTGACCAGTCTTGCACCTATGGCTACAAAAATACCTGACTTAGCATCTATTAATCTGAAAAGTTTGAAGTTGATGTCAGACAGAAAGAAATCTTGGCTGAAAATTTTTGCTGACAATTGAAAGAGATTAAATTTATAAAGAAAAATGTCTCAAATCAGTGTCTGTGAATTAAATTTGAAAAATACACACATAATCTCTATATTCAAGGAAACTACTTCATGTAAAGAAGTTATGTCTAGGAGCTATTCAGGTCTCGATAGTCATGGTTAAAGTATGAAAAATTGCTACTCCTCGCTAATAATTTCAATACATAACATATACTCCTGTAAAATCAGTGTTCATCACCACTTAGTATACATGTTTTTTGTGTAAGAAACAAAGCAAAAGTGTCAACGGTCTGACAGCTCTCTGTGAACTGCTGTAAACACTGACTACCAGTAGCAAGCTAAAAGTAAGCATAGAAAACCTTTGCAATATTTTCTACTAAATGTGTTTTTCAAGATTGTAACTGATTACCAGTGAATCTGTAAAGTTGATGCTATTAGCCTCTAATAAAACTAATAAAAAGTTCTACAGTATATATTCTGCATTTATCTATAGTAATCCTTTATTAAATAGCCCAAAACTTGTAATGTAGAAAGACAGCAGATGAAAAACTTTAGGTTAAATTTAAAAAAATACTGGAGCGAACATTTTTCTCAGAATTAGAGAGATAAAATCACAGGGAAAAAAGGATATCAGAGAAGTGTGTGTTAATATAGTCTGTAACATCTGGAACCTAAGACCTTGATTAACTTTGAGAAACTGCATGAGTCAAGCCTGCTAGTTTCAGAAAATCATACCATTAGTGCCTTTTTGCCATACGTTTTCTTTTGCACTGTGATTTGAACTGATATCACTTAGTAACAGGAGTTAGGGAATAGGAGGACAATTTGCTTCCACGTTTGTACTTGCACAGAAGAACTCAAGAGATAAAAAATAACAATTACATGTGATTGCTACCCTGTATCACGAGACCCCTTTAACATTCAGCTTTTTTGGCTGAGTGCCTTTTGAGAGATCAGCTGACAAAGGAAACAGAAACATGTGACATATTGATCATTCTTGGTGACAGCCTGAGCATAGGACCCAAAAGTCCTGGCCTAAAATATGTTGTGAGTTTGGATTTTTTTACAGTTTTTATCCATGCCTTTTCAAATATGGTTGAACTTGATGACCCTAAAGTCTTTATTCGAACCTTGCTGATTCTATAATTTAAAATAGCCATAGCAAAGCACCATGTCTGTGGGTATTAATTGCAAAGCACACATTTGAAGAGGAAACGCAAATCCAGCACAGAAACATTTTGCACCTACCTCCTCCACAGGACTCTGAACACTCCGTAAAGCCTTCATATTCCCAGTCATAGAGCTCATCAAACTCCTGCAAGCTGCCATACAGGAAATCAGTCTCCTCTGGGGTGTATTCGGTTGCCTCCCCACTGCAGGGACCACTGTAACAGGCTCTCTGAGACACAGGTTTGGGACCTTCACATTCATCAATGGGCAAGTCAGCCACAGATTGTGAGAAAGAGAGGAGCACTTGACATTTCACAAGCCGCACCTGGATCCCTACTCCACAGGTGACACTACAGGTGGACCAAGCCTCAGGAACAAACCTGTGAGAGGAAGAGAGCAAGGCAAGTTATATCCACATACAGCCAGGGAACCAAACGCAGTGTTGTCTTGTCCAGGTGAAATTTTGTTTAATGAGAAAAACAAATGCTTCACTGCATCATTGGGATACTATACAATGCACACAGAAGCTATGACATGCTGTTGACAACTCAGTGGCAGGTCTCCTTATGTCCAAGAAAGACAAAGCCTTTGAGCACCTGCTTTGCTCCTAAAATGCCTCACTGCAAGGCATCCAGCAATCTCTCATGGTGCATCATGATACAATTAGCTACCTTTTGCAAGTATTCAACACAGATTACCTCAGCTGTTATCACAATTTTTTCACTAGAAAGTACTGAACAGGCTGCTGTTGTCAGGCAATTGCAGTATTACATGGAAAATAATTTCAACTATTGTTCCTGTATCACAGTAACTGCCCTGAAGTCTTAATTTGAAGCTAGTAAGAGGTAAAGAATTCATAATTTCTTTAGATGTTGTTTGTTTGTTTGCCTGTTTTATTTCCCTAGGGCACTTAATTTTCCTCACACTCCACTCCTATTGAGGATTTCTTTGGCTCTTGCACTTGTCTCACTGATTAGTAACCCTTACACGCTCCAAAGTTTTGTTTCTGAAAGTCTCTATATACTTTAGTATAATCACCTTGCAGATGTAATTACAATAAAAAAATAGACTGAATTCCATTTTTTGTTGTTTTCTTCAATAATGAAATAATTTCTTAATTTTTCTGTGTTGTCACTGATTTTTCAATGCCAGTGCTGAAAACTGGTCTAGCATTTTATTCAAAGTTACACCAAACATGAGATTCACATTCAACTCTGTATCACATTGTTACTACCTTGTTGCAGTAATGCAACACACTGTGTTTTGCTTAGCTCATGTTGAACTCTTCTGATTCCTAAATCTATCTGGAAAAAGTAGTTTCTGGGCAATCCACAACCTGCATTAGTTATTCTTAGATACCTGATGTTAGTGGTATTAGAGCACCACAGTAATGAATATAGGGTAATTCAGATGGCTTTGACTGTCTTGCCTTCTCCATTGGCCATTCTTCCAAACTTCCTGACACGGGCAAATTCTAAGACAGTGGTTGTAGTTACACTTCAAGGGCTAGAACAGAAGAGCGAATAGGTGAATCTGGCACTGATTCTCACCAAAAGTCACAGGAACAATCCCTGTAGATAATTCTTTCCCTTCAGCAGTAAGTGTTTGGAATCTGCTAGCTACTGCAAATTCAGTAAGTGGTTTTCTTCACCGATATTTTTTAGTGCTAATCTTATGAAGCAAAAGCTTTTTGTGCTTGGGTCTACTGTCTGACAGAAATTATATACATTAGCTAAACTTTTCAAAAAATCACTGGGCTTGGGATGTATTTTTCACTTAAACACTGCTGTCACTGACAGTATTGCTCTCCCTTCGAACTTTATTTCAGTAGACCACACCTGACTTGGACAGGTTTGCTCAGGGCTGCAGGCAACACACATCTGTCTCTTCTATGATCTGGGGCTACTTGTGGCTATAGGAAACTCATTTCTCACCTTGGGATCCCAGGAACAGCTTGATAGAAAGAAAAAGGAAATTTAGTTTTGTGATCAACATCTTTTGAAGTAATTTTACACACTTCTCTTTTTCATCCACTGTGTTTCTTTAATCGACAAAAGGACTTTCCCTTCACTCTGAAGTTTTTAAAAAAAATCCAAAAACTAAAAAGGTACTTTATGCTTTCCCAGCACACATAACCAGGATCCCTGACTGGAACAGCATAACCTTGAGCAGAGTGTGTGCAGCTCTTTGCCCACTTTTTGTGTGTCTTTGTTACAAACATGACATTCACTGCTACAACTATATACAGGAAGCAATAGAAAGGAAAGAAGTAAATTGTAGATATTATTGTAACTTAAAACTATTTACCATGCTGCTACAAAGACTGCAAAATATTTTTCACAAGCCTTTGAGAAACTAACGATGCAAAGTGATTCAATTTTCCTTCTCCTGGGACATTTTCAATCTTGTTTCAAAGATGAAACAAGAAAGGATTTTGAAAGGATTATACTGTTTAACAGTATAGGTGGGCTACTCCTCTTGTTTCCTCTAAGACTGTGTAACTGCTCTAATACTATTTTGATGTGGAAAATCTCCTGTCAGAGATTAAATGGCTCATGTCAGTCACTGTGAGAGATATTTTGACTAGTTAAAATACATAGCTTCTCAACCTGACCAACTAAGAGGCAGAAATCCTATTTAGGATACCAAAAAAAAAAAAAAAAAATAAAAGGCCCTGGTCTTCATCAGTCTTCATCAGAAGCTGTCTTCCTTACACTTTTGAACACTGTGAACTGTTTGTGAACTGTTGTTTAACTTTGCTTTGTTGAAGACGTGCTGTATTCCAAACCAAGAGGGAGGATATTTCGCAACATATTAAAATTACTCATTTAGAGAAACAGAGATACCTCAAATACGCAGAATATTTACACATGATGCATATCACATATACAAACACAGGAACAGAAAGGAGAGGACACAAAAGGAAGTAGGAACATTTTTAAAAGTAGTCTGGATCCTTGTCGAAATGAGGCTTGACACAGAAATGTCACACATTGTATTATTTCACCTTAGTCAGCAACTCATAATGAAAACACTGGAACATCTTCAGGAAATATTTTATTCAGCTATCTAGTCCCAATTTCTACATTTCAAGTGATAACTTTGGAAATGTAATTTAATTGTAATATAACTGTTGGTTGTTAAAGAGAGAATTGTTAAAATCAAGAAAGTTAAAAGCAGAAAAAAAGAGGGGAACCTCAAGAAAACCCTGCCAAAAAAAAAAAAAATCTCCATATAGTACTTGTTGTTAGAAATGGAACATTTCTGTAATGCAAATGAATAATATAAATATCCAATATTTCTGAATTTTCCATCATCCTAAAACCAGGAAATTACAAAAGCTTTCAAATATCTTTGTGCCGTTGTTAATGATAAACGTTGCCAAATGGTGAGCACAAACCACAAAACATATATAAATAAGAAGGGGACAGTTCCATGAATTTAAAGTTATTTGTTCCACATACAGCTCATCATCCACTGCACAGCACTGTGCATTTCTGTATGCTAACCCCTTGGTTAACTACTTGGAAAATGGAAGCAGTGGAACAAATTTAATGAGAAGTAGTTTTTTAGAAAATGGGAAATGATGGAGGTGTTCCATTTGTCATTACATTAAAAATTAAATCCCACTGTTATAATCACCCCTATAATAATATCCCTAGTAAATTAGACAAAAGCAATAACTCGTTCTAGTAATGTGACAGTAGTAGTTAGTTGGCAGGCAGAACCCAATTGTGTTAACAGCTGTACAAACAAAAAAAAGGTGCTTCTTTCCTCAGAGATCATATTGAGTATTTTGTATCTCTTACCATGCATTACAGTGTTGCCACTGCATCAAAGATCATCTTTTATTACTCAGAGCAGACATGGCAACATGCTTCTCCCACAGGGAAAAATACAGAAGCAAGTGTGTTCTGAGGCTCTGATGAATATTTTAAAGAGGAATCTGTTGCTCCTGTTTTAGAGACATCAGTGCGAGGTAGAGAAGTGAAATCTGGGAGGAGGGAAAATCATGAATGTGCTTGGTTATGACTGACTGGCCCAAGTGTCATGAATACCCCTCTCAGATAGCAGTGTGTTTAGTGTTAAAAAATACCTCCTTATATTATATAATAGGAATTTATTTTACAGTATTTATTTAAAAAGTGCTCATTTATTTAAAAATCCATGTGCCATGCAGTGATCACTTATATACAGAATCAGCAAAAGTAATACCAACATATAAGCTGAGAACAGCAATGAAAATGGCAGTACATAGTCTCAAGATAATGATATTTTTTCCTTCAAATTCTGGGCACAGCTAAGGACTGGTGTATATTCCCCTCAATACAGCAACATATGTTCCTACAAAGTGTGTTATGAAGAAAAAGAAGTGTCTACAGACCAATGTGGTTTGACCTGTGGCGAAAAATAGCTTATTCTCTTCACTGCTACATAATTACATGTTGACATAATTTTTATTGTTTAATGATTTTTTGCTCAGCTTTTTTTTTTTTTTTTTACTTGTTGAGTTTTGGTTGTTGGTTGTTTTTGTTTTTTTAATCCATCTTTGGGTAAATCCATGGCTTAGGTAAAGTCTGAGGTTTTGAGAGATGCACAAACCAGTAAAACCAGTCAGACTGAGTGTTCCAGGGCACAGACACTCATCTATTAAGGTACCTAAAATCAGATAATAATGGTGAAATAAAATGTTCAGTGTCTTCTTCAAAGGCTTCAGAAATTTCTGTGATAGAACCAGGAACTGAGCTCAGACTTCCAGACTCCTTATCTTGAGCTGAAGTGCAAACCTGTCCTTTTCCTCCAGGAGAGGCCACCTTTCCACAAATTTTAAGGTGTGTGTAACAGCACAGGGTGCTCTCACACAGGAATGGATAGCTGCTGGTGCCATTGTTTGGAGCAGTGAAATGGAGGTCATGACCATTTATCAACAAAATCTCAGGGTTCCACCTGTAAGAGTAATGGCACTGGAGCCAATTGCATAGGTCCAATTCCAACCAGGTGATTACCTTCTGTCCCTCTACAGTTTCTCTTAAGTTTAGTTTGAGTATGATCTTTTCCTCCAGCTTTGTGTCTAATTATTCTGTGCTGTTGGTGCCCTTCACTCACTCTGCCTTTCCGGTCAGGGAAGGTAACTGCTTCTGTCTTGTGTATTTATTATACATAAATCCTAAGCAGTTGTGACTGTATCTATGGGTCCTTGAATTAATATAGCAAAAGCATTACCTAATGTGAAGCTGCTGCATTGCTGGTCTTCCCTTTGACCGACCATACAGATAGTTTAATGTTTTGCCATTAGATCTTAATATGAAGAAGTTTCCCTAAACTTTCTTCTTCCTCTTTGCTGCATGACTCTGAAGTGGACAAGCCTAGCAGTTGTTAAAGCTTTATGCTCTCACTACCTTTTTTTTGGTAATCCAACAATCATATCACGATTTATTTTTAAAGTAAGGCCTTAGTAAAAAGTTTTGAATTTATTACCTGTGAATCAGGTACAAGGATCATGATGGAAACTGTTCAACAAGGAAAATCAAAATAAAATAGCTTATGTGTCTTTGGAAACATAAATACTTACTGGAAAGTAAAAAAGAGATATTGGATGTCCCTGCCACACTGCCCTCTCTGTCCATATCTAGTTCCCTGAGGGCTTTTTCACCCCCACAGATGCATGCCAGGAATTTCTCTTTTTTTTCACTGAACTGGCCCCATCGCTATGATGGTGACATCTGGCATCCAGATATTACTGTTTGCCCTCTACCCCGTCTCCCCCCACCTCCTTTTTCTTTTATGGCCAGCACAAGGGTTATTTATGGCAGTATGTTAAAAGCTGGATATGGTGTTAATATATAAAAGCATTTTTCAAATGCTAGAGACAGAAATCTGTAAAGAAACCCTCCACCACTGATCCAAGGCCTGCTGAATGGTCACTTCAGAGACAGCAACAGGAGGAAACATGTACAACAACACAGGACAACAAGGCCTTCTCATCTTAAACCTTTGTCATGACATGGATTACAACACTTTCTTACCAACATAGAGTATTCTGTAGTAGTTCTATCAGCAATTAATATTTAATTGATCCCATCTAGGGGTTCAGGAGGTCAGACAACACAAACATAACTACTCCCTCTAGTCTTCAAGTGGCTGAACTGGTTGTGATTCTCTGAGCAGCAGAACCAACGAAGAACTATTTAACATAGATTTATATTTGAAGGCTGAGTGCCCAAATGGATTCTCTGCTATCTGTTAAGGACCAAAACTCCTTTAAAAACCTTTCCTTCAAGTAGGGAATTGTAGGGTATCAGTTTTCTACTAGTCATTTAGTTCAGTGACACATATGGAAAATAGTACCATCGAATTTCCTGGAGAGTATCAAGCAAGTTTGACAAAGGAGTAAAATTCTCTGTGATAACTTTATACCTCCATCAAAATCAGTTAACAGGAATAAATTCAGACATTACTGAGAGAAGAGGAAGGCAACTGACAGATAGACATATACAGACAAAATTCAAGTGTAAGACTTGCTTGCTTTAGAAATTCCTAAAGATATAAATAATGGAAGGCACTATACACAGATGGAATAAAATTGAGGCATCTGGTGCTCCAGCAGCACACATCAGAGAATTATCACAAATTACAGGTGAAAGGATAGTATAAAAGAAATACTGTAGCTTTATAACTAACAGTATATTTCATAATAAAAATCATATTGAATAGAAAGTCACAAAAGTCAGAAGACATTAATACAGAGATTCACAAATATGAGAATGTAATACATAGAAGAAATATGTTGAAAATTTTCAGGTTGAGTTCTTAAACTTCTCATTAAATATAAACTTTAAGCAGGACAACAGAGTTGCTTATAGATGAGGTTTATTCTCTGCCTGATGAATGATAAGGAAGAAAGGGTCACAGTAGTAGGGGAAGAATGGTCTATTGGCAACAAATAATGACCCTGTCTGTAGAGGAGAATGCGGGCAGTCAGTGACCTGGTGGCATAAGAAAGCTTGGGAACAGCCTCAGATAAAGTGTGGGAAAAGAATGAATCCTGGCTGATGTCTGCTCAAGTGGGGTCATGAAATTGGTTATTGTTGCACCAATGCAGAGTGAATACGAAAATTATATAAGCATAGCTTCTCTGAAGAAACTTCCATTACTGCAACTTCAAGTAAACACTTGTGAACGCAATTCTGCCTCTTCAGCACCTGGCTCACCATGCCACCAGAGGCCATCTGCTGTTCCCTCTCACCCACAGCTTTCCCCATCCCCTCTATGCAGTCCATCGTTCCCTCTCTGCTGAGTGAAAGAGTGTGGGCTCATCCTGGCTGCCCAGGTCGACTCCTACCTCCAACACTGCTGAGCCAGCTCTGCTAGACCAGATCAGAGGAAAGAAATGGCTTTCTTAGAGGAGGGGAAACCAACAATGAAAATTGTTTTGTACAACTCCAGGATGTTTTCGAAATATTTACAGCAAAGTAACACACTGCAACACACTTAAGTGTAAGACAGTAAGAACCTGAGAGTCACATTTTTGTTACTCAAATCTACAGTCAGCAAAATAGCTGGCCAAATCACACAAAGTCTTACACCAGCTAGTGCTCGATCCAACATGTTTCAACACTCAAATTACCATTTACCTACATCATGGACTGGTAATTTATCAGCCACATATGTGAGTGGTAGTCTGACATTTGTCAGAGTGGTGGGCCATGGAGTATTATAGTGTGTCTCTGTGTAGCTGCAGAAGCACAGACTGAAAGGTACATTATCATGGAATACACCTTGTTCTTCACCTAGTTGGTGTGTTTAAAATCCCTACACAGCTAAATGAGGAGAAGTGATGCCATAAAGCTGTCACCAAAGTTGATATTTGCTTGTATCTCGGTGTATTCTGAATGTTTTGTCTTGTTCTTTATAGTTACATACAGTTTTTCAATCTAAAGACCAGGATCTAAAATAAATAACTGTTTAAAGTTAGATATTAATGACAAACACTATTAATAGTGAGGCATCGAAACTAATTTTAGGTGGAAATTCACTGGAGAAGATCGCCAAAACAGATTAGATATTCTGGCTGTTACAGTATACAAGTGGGGATTGCATGGATGGTTCTTTCAGCTTAAATTATCAAAGTTTTTATTTGGTTTTCTGTCTCATGCCTTATCACTAAAAACCATTCCAAACTAAACACAAGGCATCTCTGAGCTTTGGGAAAGTTTGCATAAAGACCCTAACTTTGTGCCATTTTTCCTGTTAGTCAACACATATAAAAATCTGTACTTGAATTTCATTTATGTCAAGTAGATTTCTCATCATCCTAAAATAAAGATTAGAAATGCTCCTAGACTTGTGAGAAAACAAATGTACAAAATGTCACCCTGTGGCAGATTGAACCTAGTCTGGACTGTGCCTCACTGCATAGATATGTTGATGTTCCACTGGTACCACTGAAGTCTTGCATTAGATGGGGTAAAAAAAAAAATGTCTTTGTGGGACAGGGCCTATATTGCAGCAGAGCAGTGACCTATTAAATGAGGAGCAGTCATAGGTGCACTTGAAAACATTTTTAAGTTCTTAAATCCCTTTATCTTTAGATCTCTCAAGGTCTGTTTAAATATCACAAGTAATATACCCATAAGCTTTTCCAGAATATTTTATTAAAATATACATAATGATAAACAAAAGCCTCTTCATTTTTCCCTGCAGATTATGCCTATTTTCTACAAATACCTTCTTGTTAATATTTAAAGCTACATATACTCAAATATATATATATAGTTATAACTATACTCATTTTCTACAGTGTGATCGACCTTGTTCACAAAATCTATAAAAAAAATTTCTTAGTGTAACAAATTATTTCATATATGACCACACAACAGTGTATCAGTATGAATTCTAATTTATGTATGATTTAAAGTTTTATTTACAGTTTGATAAATGTACATTTAGCTAAGCAATTTAGAACAGTTACAAGAAAATCACAAGAAAATAAACTGCACTTTACAAATTAAATATCTCATTATACTATATGTGATAGCTGCTACTAATATATATATATAAAGACATACTAGTGTGTATATTTGTATGTCCATAAGTGTGTATAAATGCATGTGGATACCTATATTTGTCTATATGTATGTACGCATGTACACACACAGCAGCTGGATAATTTTTCTTTTGAGGGTCTTTTTGTGTATGTCTCTAGCTCTCCTTCAGTGTTCCAGTTTCAAATTACTTAAATTCAGACGAACCATGCCAAAACTGCATAACAGTTACATATATGACTGTTACATAAACATATAACTATTATATTGCATAACAAACAATGTTTTTTATTCTGATACATAGCTGCAACTGCGACAAAAAATGCCATGTGCTCAGACATGAGGAACTGGATATTTATTAAAGCTGTGAACAGAGGTTGTATTTATATCATGCATTTACCACAGTTTCAGAAAAAAAAAATTTCCAAAACATAATCATCACAGTATTTTTAGCCTTATTGCTAAAGGTTTATGTGGTACACATCACAGGTTTTCTGGTTTATTTTCTGCTAAAATTATTTTTTTTTTTCTGTTACTGTGCCTTTCCCTGGGGGAAGAGGCAAGGAGGAATCATCACTAACTGCCTTGTTTTACCTCTTACTTCACAGGGTGATTGAGAAAATACATAAAGGTGCTGAGTTTGAAGATACAGTGCTAATGGACAACACATAACTGCTTAGGAAGATAGACTTATTATAATATTCTTGTAAATGACCTTAAATAAAACACATATGTATTTGCTTAAATCGAATTTGCATTCATCTCTTGAAATCTGTCTCTTCACACCTAAGTGTGATACAGCCTTAATACTATTGATTTTCACAGGGTTGGGTTTGGCCTTTACACTCTAATGAAAACCAAATGCATCAGAAGACTCTGTTAGTTCTGCACAAGCACCAGATTCCCACAGAGAATCATCACAGAATCACAGAATGCTTTGGGTTGGAAGCAAACTTAGAGAACCTCTAGTTTAAACCCCCCTGTCATGGGCAGACACATCTACCCCTAGACCAGGTTTCTCCAAGCCCTATCCAACATGACCTTGAACACCTCCAGGGAGGGAGCATCCACAGTTTCTCTGGATCACATAATGAGAACCTGTTGTAAGCAAATTTTTAAGACTTACGATGGCTCTTCAGATACAGCTGTTCCTTCCTCCAGCTCTTGAGCCTGCTTATACCATGGCAACTTTGCTTCCACAGGAAGTTTCTCTATGAAGCAAACACAAGCACATGAAAATAGGAAGCGTGCAGTAACACTGCTATGTGTGCCATCCTCCCTGCTCTCACTGACCTTGCAATGATGCACTTGTGCCTTCACACAGTGGAGGCTGAGCACAAAGAAGAAAGAGATAAATGAGAGAAGAAGAAAGAAACTCTTTCATTAGCTGGACTATAATGCTTACAAAGCTATATGGCCAGATATTTCAGTGTTACAGTAAGAACGGCTACAGTGTCCTAAAGCCAGAAAGGCAAATTAAGTCACTTTTCAGACTTTATAACTGGACTGTAAATGGAGGCACTTTGGAAAGTATTTGTTGGAGGGAGTTTCACAAGTATAACAGGTCTCCATTATACTGCAAAGGCAAAACGTGTCACATTGGTGTGTCTACCTTTAAATTTTAGAACTCCAGAAGACATGTTGAACTTGGTTTTGGTAGATTACAAAAAGTAAGAAAATCCTGGTTGGATGAGTGATGCCACAGAAAAATCTTAATAAAATGTCCCATCTATGCTTCTCAACTTTATCAGTTCATCAGCTATGTGGACTTAAAAAAATGAGCTTGATACTTTTTCTGTCACTTCTGATGGAAAACAGTGGAGCTGCTGCTTTTCTTCCCCTCCAGGATGTGTGCACAATGTAATGAGCTGGTCTGCTCTGGGGAGTGCATGGCCATGCTGTTTTGCAAGCCAAACTCTGCTTTCACACAGTGTTAAAGTGGAGTAGTTGACCTGAAGGCAGTGGAACTGTTTTAGCTCTACAAGGGATAAAAAGCAAGAGCAAATTTGGCACTGTAATTTGAGAAGGAGTTCTGCATTTCAACAAAACATGGGCTAGGATCAGGGGAAAAGCATAAACAAAAGGCAGTGAGACAGATCACTGAGCAGGACCAAACCTATTTGTCACTCACAAATCACCTGAGCCTTTTGGATTTATATAATGATGGATTTATTGTCGCCAACAGAAGTAGGTTAACGTCATTCAGAATAGTTAGGAATTTTCTGTGACTCTGCTGTGCATAACAATGTATATTTCACGTGTGCACATGGAATTTCCCACCTGCCAGCTGTATCATAGAGGAATGACAATTTACAACTTGACTTCACAGCTATTGGAACTGCAGTCATGCAAATTTTCTTGGAGCAAGTTATTAACTGAGATAAAAAGGGACAATAACAGACACTATGCCTCTACCTCAGAAATAGCATGCTAAGCTCTTACTCCAACATATTTATTAGTGCCATTTAAGGATGACTATTTGTAAGCACAGCTCCTAGTTTAATCCATATTTTACCACATTTGTCATCCAAAATATGTTGGAGATATTTCTATTTATATGTTCTGCAGTTTGTTTTATGGGTTTTGGAAAACCAAATCTTACTTCTGTGATCTTTTTGCTTGGATGCAAGTGCTTTTAAAAAGCAAAAGCTCTTGTGTACCATTGTGTGTTATGTGACTTTTTAAATTATTTTTCTTTTTTTTTAGAGGTGCAGTTAATTACCATCTGCACTGTAAAATTTGTTAGAGGATTAGAAATGTTGATGTTGTACAGTATGCTTTGACAGAAAAATGAACAAAAAACACTTCTAGCACAAACTAAGGAGGAATTTTTACCTTTGGAGATTAAAGTAAAATCTCTTCTTTCATAAAACACTACCAGTAAAAACACTTAAATCCTATATTATACATAAAGTTGCATTAGATGAATACACTTTCTCTATTAAAACTGAAAATCATTACTTAATCCAGTGATATCCTTGTTTTTATTGGTGCACGATAAAGTGCCTTAGTGTTTGAATAAACTGAAATAAGTTATATGAACTATTTATCTTCAATGTCTTTTTAGCCCAATGTCTTGTGTTAAGAGAAGAGAGACTTTCATATTTTTTGCCTTGCTACTTCAGTCAGGGAGTTTGTTTTCTGCTTTGTGTTAATAGAGCTGCAGAAGGCAAAAGCAGGCTAATTATTAAAACAGTCAACAGACAAGAGGCACTTTGCTACTACTACTGCTCTAAATTTTTAACTCTAGATGTGTGAAATAAAAAGGACAAACTTCCAGTATATGAATAAAATAATCTGGATTGGAGGATACCTCTGGATACCATGTGGTCCAATTCTTCTGAAAGCACTATTGAGCCTTCAGTTACATGGGTATTCAAACCACTTGCATTACCACAGGGAGAGCTGTGAGAATGTTGCAGAACAAAGATGAGGAGGAAAGCTAAACCAAGGTAAGCCAGTAAGCTTTGTGTGGAACTTTCCATCCCATGTGAAAAAATGGAAGAAGGAAATAACTGCCTACAATCATAAATTAATGATGTATGTGCTGCAAAGGGCAGCACAGAGTTTGTCCCAGGTAAAGATGCCATGCTCTTGTGAAGACTGGACTTCCAGCAAACAGCAATTTACTTTCTTCCCAGACAAGCCCCATTGTAAGATACTTCTTGACAGATGCAGGTAAGCAAAGCTTTCCTAGCTAGTATTGCACCCTTCTCGGGTTCCCTATGCAGAAGTCAGTTGTGGGTGGTTTGCAACATTTGAGGTTTTTTGTGTCTTACTGCATTTTGCTTAGACTGTAAGATGCAGACTGACGAGAACTTGCATTACCTGTGTTCTGAACACCATAAACCTATAAAGCTCCATAGAGCAGCTAACTGAATGAGCCGAAACCTACTGATCCTCTGCATGATGCTCAGAGTCATGCTAACACAGTCACAGGGCTTTTTTTCCCTTTTTCTTTTTTTTTTACATCTTGGAAGGCAGATTGACTGAGCTCATATTGGTCAGTAAAATACAGGGCAAACATACCCATTGCTTCCCAGAGACCCTATGTCTGGGTTTCACCACTCTGGTGGCTGGCAGACACAGTGGATTCTCATGGTCCAGAAAAACTGGAATCTTGAAACTTGGCAAATGTGCCCATCACTGGCCACCAAGTGCAGAAATTAAAATTTCAAATTTCACTGTTCCGTCTTGGAACAGCATAAGGTCATGGGTCAGTCTTATTTCACAGGGCTTCATAAAAGGTGCTCTCAATATGTTTCAGGATAGCAATTTTAAAAATTATTATTATTTTTAGTAGTAGTAGTAGTATTAATACTGCTTGGTCTGCTGAACCACAAATTAACAACGAAAACCCCAAAGTTTTTAAGAAAGAGAAATAGGTTAGTACTCATTTCAAGTTGCTAGCAGGCGCAGGAACAGACAGGTGCAAAACATAACTCAGTGCAGGTAGAAACAGTAATGCCAGTAACAACACAAAACTGTTGAAAATTGAAGGGCTCTGAAAAATTTATGAGAACCCTTCTGTCTCATTACCTCTGGGTTTGTAGCAAGGAGTGGATACAATGCATTCCTCCTTTATGTGTGGCTTTGTTTTAGGACTACAGCCTCCTGTATGCATTCCTCTGTGATCAAGGCAAAGGACAACGCGGTATCTGAGTCCTTGTCCGCAGGTCACAGTGCACTGGATTAAAAAAAAAAAAAAGGTGTGTGTGATACATCATAGGAGTGAAAGGGGAATATGCAACAGAAGTATGTGTACATCAGAGAGCAAAACATGATGCAGAAATACCAAACCCTGAACGTAAAGTATTCATAATATTTGGTAGTTATGGATAAGGTAAAAATTGTCAGAAATTTTTGCCTTTTTGCTCTGAACATTTACTTGATTTGGACATTTTGCCACTGGATTTCTTTTGCAGAGTCACTCTTGTAATGCTGCCTATGTGGCTTGTGGCCATTTGTCTCCATACTGGATATGTTCAGTAACACCCTGTCAATTTCATCTGGAGCCACTCTGCTTTGCTTGTACAAAGTGCTGGGGCTTATAGGTTAACAGGGGTGACACTCAGGTTTTTCGGAACAAGGTACCAAATGGAATGGAAAACTCTTCTACTTTCTTCTCGCATTTAAGTGTCACTTATTTTTGTTATGGTTCATCAGTTTTTTCCCTCTGTACAGATTGTTTCAGAATTGCTTGCACTTGAGAGGATCAAAACTACCAACCAGTGAGGAGGGCTTTCATCTGGAAATCAGCCAACACTTTGCAATCAGTCAAGGACACTTCATCTGTAGGTGAGCTAGCTTAGCTTCTAAAACACATTTACTTATTGAGAAACTACAATCAAGGTAAGTCTTTATGTACAAAGTCAAAGTACTTTACTACTTTTATAGAAGTACATTTTAAAGACATTCACTTTCATATAGAAGGAAAGACAAATCAGGAAGAGAAAAGTAGAAGTGTCAAACTGCAGACTAACTTACAGCTTTATGTATTTCAGGAAATTTCTCAGCAATTAATGAGTTTCAATTTATGGCTGCAATATTGTAATAAAGATGTACCATTACATGATTACTGGGGGGTTTTTTGTGCCTTTCATTAATATGCCCAATCTCTTATTAGTAGAAAGTCACAAATTAACATTAAAGAGCTGATTTATTTTCCCAATATTCTTCTTAATACACTTTTCCAGAGTGTTTACTTTGAAGTTAGACAAACAGCATAATTTAAAACAAAGGTGCTGGTATAATAAGGCAAGAAAGCAGTGAATGTTCCTACTTCCACAAATTCACTAAACTATAATTTCAGATATGTTCCTAGTGTGGTAAACAGAAAACCAGTAAAGTTAAGTTGATTACCGGAGACCATTCCTGAGCAAGCCACTTTGGGCAGTCAAATATATTGCAAGGCTGGACAACAGGCATCTTTGGAGTATACATGCATTTCCATTCTTCCACAGGGCTGATATGCCCCTGAATGTCTTCTTCCACACATGAGATGCTTCGGCTTTGAATGCCCCCTCCACAGGATGAGGAACAGGCAGTCCAGGGTGTACTTTCCCATCTGGGAAAACAGAGAGGCATCAAGAAAAGTAACCCTTGCTGCTCCCACCCCCAATTGCACTGCAAAAATGCAGAAATTGCTATCTGTAAGTGTATTTTCTTTTCTGATTAACATCAGTAAAAATTAATCATATATCTCTTTTCATAAGTGTCCATAGGAGCAAAGCATGCTCATGGCTAGTGTCTTTAAGTCAAGTATAAGTAATATGGAACAGCCTCTCTCCCACTAACCCAATTAATACTACCACAGAAAATCTAAATACTTTTAACCTAATTTCTTTCTTTTATTAATTGATGGAATTCAATTGTCTTCACAATTTTTCATATTCTGAGGAATCTTTGTCAAAGAGATTCACTGGAAACTCAGTGTGCTGTGAGGCTGATGTCTCCTTTGCAAGAAAATAAAGGGAATGTCCTCTGATGAATAAACCAGATGGACCTTGTTTCCTTGCAGTTAAGGCAGTGAGAGGAACTGAGAAACCATCTTTTCTCTACAGATGCCCTCTGAGAGTATAATGACAAACCCAAAGAACAACATATATGTTCTGAAAGGCTATGCATACTTATGAGAATAATTCATTTTTTTTAGTGATGCATATACCATAAGGTGTATTCCTTTATATATGTACGTGTCTGTCCACATAAAATAGTCTGGTATTGCCTCTTGTATATTCAAGCCATTGTCACAGGTTGGCTGTGAGACCATTTTCATGATCCACTGTGGCTATAATCCCGTGCACGCCCGATGGTACAGAAGTATGTATGTTCTTCCTATCTGGAAACATTTCACAAAATCAGTTTTTCCCCCAAAGGCAAGTGTCCTTTTGATAAGGACATTATAAATACTGTTTGAAGCAATTATTTTGGCCATAAGATTCCACTTTTGACTTAAAAATAGTTTTTGTGGAAAACACCATGCCTACTTCCTCCTTCAGGCAAGAAGTAAAAAACATGAAAGATGAGGATTTTTTTTCTTCCACTTAAAATAACTTGTTAACTAATAATTACAGGATCCCCAAGATTGTTGAGCAATATAAAAAATGTTTATTTTTCTCTCTGATTTTTCATCATATCAACCATATTCTTACCTTTTCCAGTACACCTAGCACTACTTAACTTGGCTACTGGCTGAAAGTACCATAAAACTCATTGTGAAAGAGTTTATACTAATAATCATTTATGAATGCTAAACCCACTAATTAATACTATGACTTATCAATAGGAGTGGTGAAACCATTTTTACACCATGCCACAGCCATCATTCTGTGCTAATCACGAGTTACATATGCCATGCCATTACACAAAGGCATAATTTTAGCAACACTTTTGCTTAAATGTGTTCCTTGTGGCTCTGCTGATTAAGTTTCCCAGCATACAGCTAAGGTTTCTCACTACCACAAACCAAACTGGAACTCATGAACTACAAAAATTGCTGGAGCCAGACTAAGCCATCTTTTCCCACTCATAAAAAGCGATGGCACCAGGAAATTTCCTGAAGTCTCTGGGACAAGTTTGCAGATGCCTTTGGCAATCTTAGCAATTCCAAGTAGCTTAAATCTAGAAGAGAGTTTGTTCCTAAGGTTTTGTAAGAATGTAAGATAGGAACATGAAGTTTTCCTGTGGTACAGCTCTTAAAGCTCCTTTCAACACACACAGCGTGCAACACTGGCTGAGAATTTGCAAAAGGAACTGGTGGTGCATTAAAAGTAAGTTCTGTATCTGTTAAATCATACCTTTCCTTCCTGGTGATAAAATACAAGGCTAGGGGTTTGCAGTAGAGAAATTTTGCAAAGATGCCTTCCCAGATTTGCTCTCTACTTCTGGAATGTTTGTTGCTCTCCTCTGTTCCTGATATTAGGTGCCAGACAGGTAGGACAACCAAATCAGGGCCTCTCTGGTTTGGTTGGTTTTTTCGTTTTGGGTGAGGGGTTTTTGGTTTGTTTGGGGGGTTTGTTTGTTGGCTTGTTTTGTTTTTCATAAACTGTGCAAGTTGAGAGAAAGGCATTTTTATCCCTCTGACTTGGACCTGTCTCATGCCATCCTCATGGTCAGTTCAGCTTCAGCTGCCTCTGAGGTTTGGAGAAGAGACGTGTAGCTGTGTCTCCTCTCTTGGGGTAAGGGAGGAAAATCTGAGCCCTGTTTGTGAGTTCACAAGAGCATGTGAGAGTGGAAGAGTGGGAGAAGAGGGGAAACAGGAGCAAAACAGAGACGGAAAAAGGGGAGCAGAGGACTCAGCAGTTGCAGCCTGAGTAATCTATGAAGGGGGGATTTAAAGGAGAGCAATAAGGCTGGGAGAGTGGATGTAAAGGGATGGTTATGGGATGAGACCATAATCCAGAACACCTTTTGATCATTTTCAGGGAAGGATGATGTTTTGTTTTTTTCTTTTGGTATTACTGAAAGCCAAATACTGCAGGGTACCTTGATCCTTTATTTTTGGATTTTCTTCAGCAGTGAAAAAAGCCTCTGTCTAGCTGCCAGCTCAGAACGCTTTTTACCTGATTACAATCCCTACACTATTAAGTACATTGAATCATCCTCTGATATAAAATTATTCTCTGTCCTTTATCAATGTTCAAGCCCTTTGTACACAATTGAAATACACTTTGTTTTATTTGAAGCTAGAGTGTTAATGTTTCTATATTCCTTACAAGCAGGTTTAACTTTTGAGGCTTGGAGGTATGCATATGGGTGTGGGTTTTTTTAAAATAAAGAACAGAGAAAAGTGTTTCCCAGAAAAAAGAAATTAGATGTGGAGATATATTTCATAAGTGTATCTCACAAATACCTTGTGATACTGACTATGTGTACATAAAAATAAACACTTAGCTAGGAAGAGAAAACCGTAATCCTAATAGCACAGATAACTGATAAATGATGTGAATGTGAACGGCAATCACAACACTCACCTAGCAAGTCTCTCTGTACTACATTTGCACAGTGATGCTGAGAGCTCTCTGTATTAGGCTATGACACAGTTCGAGGGAAGTCTTTCCCTCACCAAGATGAGACTAGCAAGTTTCCTACAGGGTTCTTTCTGTGACTTCATAGTCCATAATAAATTAATGAAGAAGGAAACAGCACAATACTATTGCATGTCCAGGTGGTATTTTGAAACCTAAAGGTTATTATCATTCACCTATCAAACATTTTTATCATTAGGAGTCTTATTCACAGCTTTAAGAATAATTACTTATCTGATTATTTCCATGAGAATCTTAAATCTTACACTAAAGACATTTTAATTGTGATATAATTAATAATAAAAATCAGACCTTGATTCGTACCTGCGACCTCATATTTCTTAGAAAGGCCAATTAATTAATGCCTCCAGGGAAGGCATTAGTATGGGTTTGTAGGATCAGAACACAACACTAATGCTGTCAAACCCCCAAATCTAACAATTTATAAGCATTCAAGAAGCAGCACAATGAGGGGGGAAGAGAGAGAAAGCCCTTGGTTAATTAAAAAGCAACAGGTTATAGTCCTGTTCAGAGAGAAGTAAAGGGAAAAAAAGGAAAAGTGCAAGAGAAAAGGGCAGGTGGGGTCTGAGGAAAGAGAGAAAGAAAGTAGCCACACACTTACTAAGTCTGCATTTCTGCTTCAGCTAGAATATAATTTCAGTTCTGCATCGACAGAATTTATTACAACAGGTTAGCACTTGAACATCTCTAGGTTAATCTGCAGGAATTCAGAGCAAGAGAAAAGCAGAATCTGTTAACTTAGTTTGAAAGCAAAGCAGAATTGTAGAGAAGAGAAAAAACCCAAATGTATTTGTTAAGCCTAGAATCTGGTTGACCATTTTACGTACCGAGGAAGGGGATGGTAGAGGTCATAGGGCATGATCTGCTTGTATCCATCACTGTTAGGAACAATAATGCCAACCCTCTGAGTAGAAGGTACACATAATAAAATAAACACTAAATGATTACATTATACAACTTTTTGTATTACAATATTGTATTACATTTTACAACTTTTTGTATTACGGTATTACAAACCAAACAAACAAGACATTTTTCATAAATTGTCATCACATTTAAAACAAAACTTATGCTCTTGTGCTATTTTTTCTCAGTTGTTCAAAAAATGATTAGTGCTTTATTCTAATACATATATTACTATTTGACAAAGAAGCAATCCATTGCCACAAGAGATCAAAATATTATTTAAATTTATTGTGTTGTTACCTAGCATTAAAAAAATGTTTCTATGCTTAATACTTATGCTTAATAAGGGAACTTATCTGTGCTTCTGAGAGCTCCAGATCAAATCCTTTTTAAAACTATGACATGGTTGTTTCTGCCCTTCCCGTAAAACTTCTGCTTTAATAGGAGCCAAGATTAGAAATTTGGGGAATCACTGTGCAAGAATTCAAATCTGCAATTCTTGTCTCCTCACATGAATTAGACCAGATCTGCCTCTTTATTTGCTTTTTTTTTTCTGGAATAAATAAGGAGCTCGAGAGAAGATTAACATGTCAGATTAGGTTTTTTGTTTGTTTGTTTTTTGTGTTGTTGTGACTGATGGGTTTGCTTTGCTGTAGTGTTATTGGTATGATATCTAAATAATATAACATCTACAGGTTATAGAAAGTAGCAGTACAGATCAAAATTAGCAATTACCTGAAATATTATCATGCCAGTTATGCGTGAGATGGATGTCACTTGCCTTGTTGGCAACTACAGGGTCTCACTGAATTGCACCATTAATGTACCAAGTTCAAAAGGAAATAATTGCACTCTAAAAGCATCTACTGACTAAGAAAGAAAGAGATTTCAAAATATTTCTCACCCATTTCAGTGAAAAATACTTTCTTCCTAACAAACATGATCTGTATGCATAATCCAGGTCTACATGTTTTAGAACGCACAATTCCCATGACCATTAGGATGGAAATAAGCACACCACATTCAAACACTGTTATGATTATGAAATAACATTTAAAACCCACTAGATTAATATTTTAATTGGAAAGGTTTGACACTCAAAGAATTTTGCATACATAAACTGCACTTCTGGAAACAGTATTGAGCTCCACAGAATTACTGACACTATCCTTGTGCATATGTGAGTGGCTGGCAAAGGTTCTCATTCCGTAACTGCAAGACAGTGATTCACAGCAGTGTAATCACAAGACCCCCACAATAATACACAATAGGTTAATTTATGACTTTAAAAAAAAACTGGCTTAAAGATACGACAGAAGAACAGGTGGTCATTGTATCATTCATGACAACTGCATCTTTTCTAGCTAGTCTTGTGTGAGGTTTTTTCTATGTGTTCCAGAAAAAAACCTCAAGACTAAAAAAAGATATTAGAGATTACTTTAGTGGATCATTACTTTATTGACTGAACAAAGTGGTTTAAACTCCATGAATCTATCATTACACTCCACTAAAAAAGAAGGAGGACATCTACTTTATGGGCTTTGTTTGCTGTATGTTATTGAGCCAATGCAAAGGGCATGGTGTGCTAAATGAACAGAGGAAATAATAATTCCTTCACTGGTATGTGAAGAAGGTAACAGGACTCACCCAAAAAATACCTAGAGCTTTGGTAGGAGCAGACGCGCAAAGCAAATTATTTTGTTGAGCTGTTGAACTCATATGTCTGAAATCTCCCATGCTTTTCAGACCAAAAGGTCCTGTCATATAGTATGAGGATTCCTTTGTTTTCCCCCTGAGTGCTGGCAGCCTCAGGACAGTTACTCTTCCAAGAGACATGTAGGGATTGAGCAGGAGCTGCACATGCCAGAGGTGGGAGTGCTGCAACCAGGTCTGCCACCTCTGCAAGCATTCCACTTTCCCCTGGGATGAGTGTCTGCATTTCTTGAAAGTCTATGTTTGAAGTTCTCTTCCCCAATTGCTCCTTTTTCTGCTTAAGCTACAGATGTGTAGCTTAGGGGTACAGATGACAAGTGTGAATGCCTTTCTCCTGTACCTCCCTAAAGACCCCTCTCTCTGACAAGATGCCAGCACTTCCCACCTCCCTCTCCTGCATGCTGGCAAGTCTCAGGTTGGACACTTGTTGAGTCAAGTAGGGGACCAGGTGCTAGAACTGGGAGAGGAGCCAGCAGAGAGAAAGGATATCTACCTCCAAGATGCCTGAAGGTTGTGTGACCCTGCACAGGGACAATGTGCCAAGGCACACTGGGGATTAGGGGCACCTGCTGCTGTTCTGCTGATGTCCTGTACCCTGCTGTGCCAGTGCCCGTGCCCAGCCTCTGCAGGATGCTCATATGCCTTTGGCTCACAGCCTTCACTTCTGCTGAGGTCTCTCTTTTCCTAGGGATGTACTATTCACAGTGCTAGAGCTGCACAGCTGCCCCTGCTCCCCAGTGGCTGGAGCCATTACACCTCTTTCCTGATTGGGACTCACACAGCCCAGACTTAAGCCTTCACTGAAATCTGTCAGATCTGAGAGTAAATGATCTGCATGGCAGGGAATGTGCCATCTAAGCAATGGTCTGGAGTATGTTAAAGATATTATTAGTAATGAGCAAATAATAATAAAAAGTTGAAGTAGCTTAAGTTGGCTGCGGACAGCTAACTCATTAAGTGAAAGGAAACACTGGGAAGACAGGAAGAAGTTCAGCATAGAATTGTCCTCCTTGAACCGAATTTGCTCCGCTGTTCACATCTTTTAACAGTTTGAATAATGCTTCCCGGCCCACCCTCCCTGCCTTCTCTGATAAAACAATTTTCCAGCTTGATTTAAGTGACTTTTGCCCTGTCCAAAAATTCAAAGTTTTGACTACCTGTTTTGAGAAGAAATTTGCCTATTTAGGCAATGGGAATATCTGCTGCTCATCTTTATCCTGCTCTTGAACTCAGGTGACCCTGATTATGACTAGCAGAACATTGCCACTGCTATCAACTTCTTCTCCATGTACAACTCCTTTATCTGGAGACATAAGTACTGTCATTTTGAGTCAAATAGTATCACTACTTCCAACTCAGCCTCCCTGAAAATCTACCCTGCAATTTCTTTCCTGCTGCTCTGAATTGGGCTTGGCCTCCTAAATGACTGCCCCCCACTCTCTTTTCCATGCACAATGCACCACTTTAGTTCTTTTCTCCAACAGCCTTAGTAGTTTCTTGCTACATTCTGAACTGCTAAAAAATCACCCTTTATAAATGTACATGTGGAATGTCTGATGTTTGTTGACTGTGCTGTCACATTTGCAGGCAACACACTCTTACACCAGTCTCACTTTTTGAGCACATGCAACTTCAGCCATGCTGGTGGCAAAGTTTTGTTCTGCCTTCTGATTTTTTAGCTAAATGTCTTCCCCTGGAATGGCTATCTCTTGCTCTCTTTAGAATCATTCATAGGCATTCATTGGCTGTGGAAATTGAGACCAGACCCAGCTACCAGACACAACCAATCTTCAGAAAGCACTGTCAGGCAGGAAAGCTTTCTCACCTTCTCCGCAGCAAAAGAACTTAGGTAAAAATACTAAAGAACAGAAATGAACATTTGCCTGAGGCATAGAACAGGAAAGAGCATAGTCACGACTAGCGTGCCACATCCATGGAAGAAGCTGGGATGTTGTAAAAAACTTCAGTATCAGGGGTTAATATATGATATTTTATGTGAGAGACTATTAAAAATAAAGTTTGCTAGTTAGAGGCAATAACAATAAATGAGCCGCGGTGTCTCAGACCCCTCTCATCACCACAGATCTATGGCTGCTACTGTGTAAATCAGAAAGTGAAGCTCATCATTTCGGGAACATACCAGCACTCCAGTTTTGTTCATCTTCCAGAATGAATGCAGTAAAAATGGAAACACTTGGACTATAATTGTTATTGAACATAATATCTCTAGAGAAACTGATGACAAAAAAATAGCATGCATTTGGCAATTTTCTGCTTCAGCTGCCAACTTGAAATGCAATGAGGGGACCTCTGTTACTGATCAAGATATTCTGTCTTACCCTCTTAATCATGCATATTTACTCTTTACTACCTAATTTTTCTTTGAAGGAAGTATATGCAAGTTTCATGCACATATCTTGCACTGTCACCCAGGAAATTATATGCACCTTCACATCATCAAGTATACTGGGGACTTCTCACTACTCAGGATCACTCTGAATGGCCTGAAAGGTGTCTTCTGTAGACTTGTACTTCAGTGCTCTTGTTAAACTACCCGAAAATTAACAACTAAAAAGTATTATTTTATTTAAATTTAGATTTCTTTTGCTGATGCCTACCTCTGCCACCACTCTGTATGGATAGTTAAATGAGAATGTCAGAAGAAAAACTCCAATGAATAGGAAAAGGAGTTTGCAATTTTGCTGGAGAACTCCATAAACTGTGGATATCTGAGATTTCCTTCATATCCTGGAGTGCGGAAAGTTTTGTTTGAACTAGAGATTTCTCCCCAATGTTTCCGCAGCTATTAATATTATTTCTAGTGGCAGGCTTACAGATAAAACTCTAGACAAACTCCAGGAGTTAAAGTGTTAAAAAGAAGCCTATATGCTAGAACCTCACTAATACAAAATTTTTTAGACAATTACTTCATGAAGTTAGAATTTTTGCTGATCCTGCCTTTAGAAATCTTTATACACCATTGAAATCTCCTGGTAAAAGCACAAGTAGAGCTTTTGTGACTCAGAAACGCCCACATCAGCACACAGCAGCAATGGGTAAAAAACAGGGGAGATTGGTAAAAAAGCAGAACGGCACATCTGGGAAAGCTGAAGATGAAATGCAGAAATAATATTGAGAGTATCCTGGCATGTAAGTGAATGACGAGTGTGGCAATAGCCTTTTTCATATTTGTAAAAATTGCTTTTTGGAAAATGCTTTTGAATTATGAAAGAAATAGTATCTTCTGCTTATAGCACTTAAGAGTTATCATAACTAAGTGTTCTGCACACCCAGTCAAACTTAACCAAACTTTTTGTCTAAGCAGAAAAAATATTCCATTCCTCTTTCATTAAAGGATACCAGACAGGAGGACATTGACGAAAGCTAAAACCCCTCCAGTCTGTGAAGTTTGTGTAGTTAAAAGATTTGCAATTAATTAAATATGTGAGATATTAATGTTGGATTTTGCCTCCTAAAAGGGGAGTGGACTAGATTGAACTGGGTGCTATTTCCATCAGCTGACATTATATATACATATGTGTGTATGTATACACATATATATGTATATATATATACACAACATGCATTCACCAGTCAAGGGCGGACTGATGGAGTGTAAATAAACAGATCTTTTCTTTTATCTTTGTTATGAGTGAGTCAGATCCTAAAAACAGTTGATGAGAGAGCATGTATATGGCATTGATAATATGTAGGGATGAAAACTCACTCAGTGTCATAACATGTCACATATCCTGCAGGACACTAATTACTGGTCTTACATAGGAGGACAGTAAAGGTGGCCACCTTTACTTAACCTGGAAAATGAGTATGCATAAATTATATATATTTGATAAATAACCATTCACTTCTCCTCTGAGCATGTTGGTTTCATTTTCCATGTTCATTGAGCCTAAGCTTTTTACTCATGATGCCAGCAATACTGCTAATTATTGCCATAATAAGCACAATAAAATAAAACATTACTATGCACTAAGCCTAAAGAGGCAACTAATTGCAGGCCCTAAGCCTAAAGAGGCAACTAATTGCAGGCCCACATAATACTCCTGGTATTCATTTAAACTTTTCTTTTAGCCTATCCTCTGTTGAAAATTTTAATGTAAACTCTCCTATAGTAACACCTCTCAATTGCTTTATTCAGTGCCACTGTGGTCTTCCATGATTATCTTCTATGATTATCTTCTGTGGCATTCACTGACACACCATAGGAACAGTCAGCTATGCCTCACTGGAAGTGGGTTTGCCAGGAAAAATTAACATCTTCATTTTATACTGATTGAGCAGAGCAGCTCCCATACAGTAAAGACACTGCAGAGCCACGATGGCCTCCTCACTCATGCCTCTGACCCCACTGTTCTGCTTCACCTACCCTCTTCCTGACTGTAAGGAAGCCAGAAGTTACCACAGATTTCCTCTGGTTTTCTGTCTGAGTTGTTGATTCTTGAATTCTTTACAATGGTACTGTTGAAAGTAATCATTTGCAATTTGGCATCCTGTGAGGATGTTTCCAAAAAGCCACTTCCTCTCTATTACAGTGTGTACCCTGGGATGGCATAACTGTACTTCTAAATGACTCTCCCTCCCCTCAGGGTCTTTATATCAACAACTTTGCCTTGGTATGTCTTATGTAAAACAAAAATTGCTTTCTGACAGCTGGCCAGCTGTTATTTTTCTTTTTCCTTTCCTCCCATGCACTGTGCAGTCATCTGTCCTACCATTTGAGAATATATCATTTAAAATTATATTTTAAATTATATTTTAAATTATATTTAAAAGAGAGAGAAGTATGAAAAATATCCATAAATTCCAAAGGCAAATAACATACTTGACACAGAATTGTATTTTTTTTTAAAAGCAGTTTAGAATTTAAAAATAAATAAATAAAACAACTACATAAAATTACTTTCTTGTTGGTACTGTGAGAGGTAAATTAACCATATTAAAAACCACCTGGATGCAATCCTGTGCAATGTGCTCTAGGATGATCCTGCTTGAACAGGGAGATCAGACCAGATGACTTACTGCAGTCCCTTCCAAATTTATCCACTCTGTGATTCTGTGGGGTAGCACAGAGGAGACTTTTGTGCAGGGCAGAAGGATATCAATAATTAGAAAAAATTTACTCATTACATTCTTACAAGCTGCCATAACCAAAAGTAAGCTTTTTATTAAGGAGAAAATTAAAAAAAACCCCAACCAAACAAATACATAAAAATAATTCCTCTAATTGTGATGACAGTAATTTTCCAACAACATTTTCACTGAAGAAGAGTTTTTCCCATGTCACTAACACTTAAGAGACCTGTTGATCATGGGGATGGTATCATGGACCATTTGTTTTCTTGTACTTCATAATGATTAATGAGGCAAAATGCATTTTGAAGGGAAGAAACAACCATTTCAAATCAGTCCTTGCAATGTGAAAGTGCTAAACAGAGATGTTCTTCTATACAGTGCATTTTCAGATGAGAAAGAGGTTGAATTATATAGGATAAATGACACTGTGCAATAGCAACAGAATATTTTTCTACTTTTACTCATTTAGACCTCAGCCTCTCTTAAAATTCAAGCTGACTGACCTTGCAGGACAAGGATCCAGATTACACTCTTGAAGTTTTGGCTTTGGCTTGGTATTTTCAGGATAATAGTGACAGTATTGATCTGCTACTACCCGGTTGCTTCTCAGATCAAAACACTCAGCAGACGTCAGTTGATAACCTGCAATACATGGTGGAATAAATAATAAGAGATGTGGTGCTCTTCCTGTTTCTCTCTGAAATGCATTCATGTTCTGGTTTGGTAAAAAGCAAACCAATTTCAGTTTGCTTCAGTGCTTTTGCACATAACAGCTGTTGATTTACAGACCAGATTGAAAACAGCAACGTAAATCACATGTAGTAGAAAAACACATAACCACATATGGTTATAAAAGATAATCAGAATGGTCAAACAAAAATTCAGAAGCCTAGAACAAAAAAGAAAAATCAAAGGCTGAGGTTTCTTGGTCTCCAAGTGTTGTGCCCTCAGTTTCATTATAGACAGGGGACAAACGGAGACATCTTGTGATTCCAAAGCAGTCCCAAATCCTGTCAGCCCTTATGTTTGAAAGCTGTAGCATTAAATGCATACGTGGATATCAAGATGTATGGAGTCTGCCACAATGCTAAAAAACTACAGCCTACTACCATTTTGCTAAATTGCTCCCCTCATTTAGTTGTAACTATTTTCATTTTCAGATTTTTCCCATTTTAAAGATCCAAAACCAAGGGCAGCAGCTGGGACAAGTCCTGTATGCAAATGACTTTCTGGATTACAGTGGTAACTCATTACCTCCTCCACAGGATGCCGAACAAGGAAAGAAGTCAGTTTCCCTCCATCGGTGAATGATAGGCTGATAGAAGATGAATTGAACTGAACTGTCAGCAGCACCAGCATAACGAATCTGAAAAAGAGGTAACATCAAAGAGTGAAACTGATGTAAATCTGGGAAGAAGTATTCTGCCACATGTATCTTGCAGGTATGAGACATCTTGCAGCTACACGAAATACCGAATATACTTTGCAATGGGAAAATGAAATACACAAAACGAATCACAGATTGGTAGCAAAATCTTTATTGGAAAACACAGCCAAACAAATTTCTGGGCATAACCAGTGACCATTATTGAGACCATGTTCTGAAGCAGTGAGTGCAAATGCATGGTTAGCACTCCTGAATAATTTTACAGAGATAGAGGATATGGAATGATCTTTACTTCATCAGAAAGTATCTACCACTATCTGCTGCCCCTGACACATGGACTTGGATTTTAGATTTGTAGTATTTCCCAAAAAACATTTGAAGACTAGGTATAATATATTGACAGTACAAAATAAAAAATGGGGGGCTGTGCTGTGAGACATATAAATAATATAAAAATTTTAATTCTAGATTTTTTTTCCCAAAGTGAGGGTTTTTTTCATTTTCTTTGTGGTACTGTCATTATTATGTCTGTCCTGCTTACTTTATTTTGCTTGTAAAAATGCCTCTTTCACTCATAGGCATGGACTCTTGGCTGGAGCTGAGAGCATGAGTGGAAAGACATCTTTAGAACCTACAAGTACTGCCAACTTTTAAGCTCAAGTGGCTTAAGAGCTAGTGTGCCTCTAGTACTATGTGTGCTGAATGGCTTTCCTGCATAAACAAGAGTTTGTAGTGCCAGGAGTGCAGTAAGAAAGACCCTCACATTGCTAAAGCAGCACCACTTGCACCTGGCCCAGTAAAAAATCTTTCCTATTTGATATCTGTACTGCTTAATCCAGTTATGAGGACTTCAAAATCTCTGCAGGATTTCGTGTGTCCTTTTATCTAAGGCTCTGCATGAACAGCTGACAAGGGAAGAACAAAAATGCTGCTACTAAAAACATTTCCTGGTTGCTTATTTGTCACAGGGCTTAGTGCCTCGGTGTTGCTCTGAGAGCATCTCTGCATCAGTGGCATGATGCTATCACAGTAGAGAAAATTGTCAAATCACAACTAAAAAAGATGGACCCTTCTCCAAGACAGTACTGGTACTCTCAGGCACAATCCTCCCTGTTCTTTTTATCAGAGAGCTGCTTCCTTTTTTTTTTTTTTTTTTTTTTTTTCCTTTTTTTTCCTCATGTTTCAAACACGTTTCTCAGTTTTGGAAACACCATTTTTCAAACTAAATTTCCTTTCCTCTACTTACAAACACCAAGAGACATTACCAAAGAGCAGTCCGTGAAACAGAAGCAAAAATATGACACTTTGAGATGAACTGTGTAATTTGGGTTTGTTTTGTTTTCCCCTGTAGATGGATAGAAACATAAATCAAAGTATATCTTGAAGAGCAGGAGAAGGATAAAAATGTTGATGGGTGTAAGAGGTCTGGTCCACTGAGACTAAGGCTGCCCTTTTCTAGTTAAGCAGAGATGTAAATTCCCAAAAGAAAAAAAGAAAAAAACAAAACACAGTCGTAGCAATACTACTGCTTCAGCAAATGGAAGGCCCTTTGCACAGATTAATATTGTTTGAGTCTGTGTGTCAGAAACAGGATACCTAATTCCTTGTGAGGGGATGCTGCTTTAATTACACACTTCAGATGGGTCTTTCTCGGCTCATGAAGCCTCAAGCACTCCTGAGAAAATTCTTCTGCTGTGCTGGAAGCCATTTGGGGAGGTCTCTGATGTAAATGTGCAGAAAAGGCATTCACAGGGAAGAATTCTGCTCTTATACGGTTTTCTAAGGATCATCAGCGATTCCAAAACTCAGAAGATCTACTCAGCAGTATGGTCTGCAGTGAATCATCAAGCACAAACCAAGAGCTCACACAGAGCCTACTATAAATGGAAGGGGAGGAAAAAAGACTTCACATTAAAAAAACAAATCAGGAGGAAAGAAGAGTTCCTCTCTCTGCAGACTATTCCTGCATATCTGCAGTTATCTGTCTGTTAAGAGATAAGACAGATATATATAGTTTCCAGCCTAATGTGGGAGTCACTCCTACAACCATGAAAATAATATAGATGGGAAAGAATCACAGTGAGCCTCAGCCATAAGCTAAAATGATATAAAACAAGCAAATGAAAGAAGCATACACAGTATTGTTTGGGGTTTTTCTACGGAGTACTGTAAGCAGAAGAGGAACAGTATATGGTGATTCCACACAGCAAAAAATTCTTTTTTATTTTGTTTGACAGTTTGTTAAAGCTAAGATCTTTATCCAGGAGAAAACATCAGTGGTTGTTTGAGCCCTGCAAAACTCAGCGTGAGACTTAAGAGCTAAATACTGCAAGAAATGTCCTGGTTTGGCTGCACAGGGCCAAATCCCACACATAGAGCTAGTATGATGAATTTTTTTTTTTTACCCTTGCAGTATTAAAAAGATCCTGGTAAGTGAGAAATGTTGAAGCTTCAAAAAGAGATGGTCATCACTTAAAAGTCTTTAGTTAGCCTTTTAGCTAACTGCTAGGTTTGCATCCCTAGGTTACTGAGCTAGAAAAAATGGCAATTGATCATTATATTCACAAACAAAATCCTATCTAAATTTACTACTAGCAGAAGACAGAAGTACTCAGATCTTGCAGAGCACTCAGCCCTGCACTTATGCATTGTACACACAGATCATCCTTGACTTCCTCTAGGTTTCAGGGGAATTTGGAGCATTCCTAACAAGACAGCAGCCCTTGACACTTTGTGAGACCCAAGAGGTCACCTAAGCCACATAAGTCAGTCATATAATGAGCAGGTTAAATCTAGAGTCCTCAGAATAGCCACTGTCTAGCCTACAGTCACTCTCAATGGAGATATTTTTTTTCTTGTAGAAAGACCTTGGAAAAATAGAATCATCGCTTTTACACTGTTTTTAAAATTGATTTTGTAAGTGACTGTCTGGGATGGTGCAACAGAAGTATAAGCTGTTGCCCAGGTAAAGTTTGGAGTTGACAAAATGCAGCTTTGCTTTGAGGGATACCCACAGAAACTTGAATAAAAACAAGACAAAAATTTGAACATGAAACCTGTGAAATCTTTCAGAGTTGCTGTGATTATTCTGATCTGTCCTGTAAACAAGAGACTGCAAGATCTGACTTCACCTTTGCATTTTGTTGTTTTTCCTATAGCTCCAAAACTACATTCGCTGAAGAACACATGGACTGCCCTACAAAACTACAGTAAGTTTACTTGGATAGTTTTGAAATTTAATCAGCGTTTTATAACCAGCAGTCATAGCCAAGTAATTATCAATGTTATTTGTAAAAGTAAGCCATGAAAAGTGTATTCAATAGGATGTTCTCATTTTATGCAGTTGTTGGCAGGGTGTGTGTTTGTGCGTTTGTGTGTGTCCCACACTGGGAACAGAGAAAGGGAATTATTATTTCATATCACAGAATCATAGAATCATTAAAGTTGGAAAAGACCTCCAAGGTCATGGAGTCCAACCTTTGACCAAACACCACCACATCAATTAGACCATGCACTAAGTGCAACATCCAGTCATTTCTGGAACCCTTCTAGGAACAGTGTCTCCACCACCACCTTGGGCAACCCATTCCAATGCTTAACCACCCTCTCAGTGAAGAAATTCTTCGTGATGTCCAACCTGAACCTCCCCTGGTGAAGCTTGAGGCCATTTCTTTGTGTCCTGTCACAGGTAGCGCAGAAGAAGAGGTCGATTCTCACTTCACTGTGACCTCCTTTCAGACAGTTGTAGAGAGTGACAAGGTCTCTCCTGAACCTCCTTTTATCCACACTAAACAACCTCAGTGGGTCCTCCTCTAGACCCTTCACCAGCTTTGTTGCCCTTCTCTGGACACACTTCAGCAACTTTTGTCTTACACAATTTTATCTGGTATACTATGATCCATGCTACCATGCTCACTATAAAATGGATTCTAATGGATTTTTCCACATTATTATTACAATGCTTTCTGCAAGTTCCAAATCCCAAATCATCAGGTTGATATTAAAGAGAAACTACATACTGAAGTCTTCCAAGTAGCATACAAAGAAACTGGAATAAGGGTGTGGAGAACTAACCTCATCTAGCAAATGTAATTTTTTGCATTTCATGTCAGTAAAAAAAAAAAAAGTTCATATGTTTACCTAGAGTACTTCAATACTGCTGTTCCTATCTAGTGATACTTCACACTGAAAAAGTAACAGGATGTACAGGAGATTTGTTGCTATTAATAGTTTGTTCATGAAGCAGAAATAGAAGCCAGACATTGTCACAGAAAAATAACTTTACAAGTTTGTTTAAAATAACATAAAAAGTGCAAAAAATGTAAATACTGAGAGATGTGGAAGCTTTCAAGCATATAGTCTAAGAGAGGAATATATCACAACTCCTGAGTTTCCCTTTTAATTCCCTTGGAATTAAGGAACTCTTCCTTTGATCTCTGGGGAAATGTCTACTGTCCACTTTTGCATTTATGTCCCCATTCTGTGTTGTATCAGCTTGGGTTGTCTTTCTCACATCTTATCTGTTGCTTCACAACTTAGTTTCTCAATCAGCCAGAAAATCACTGTGAAATTTCATTATCACTGATTTACATACTTTACAAAGAATCTCTGAATTGAACTTGCTCACCGTGCACCAATACTGGATTAAACACTGTTCCTTGAGGTGATGAGGATGCTAAAAAGCCTTTAGATTAATTCTGTCACAAAGCCAGAGTCAAAAGTCCACATCTTTTATCAAATTCCATTATTCTCCCCAAAGGAAGAACAAAAGAGAAAATGAGTGCAATGGATTGGCTAGGATAGCTGGCAGCAATGGAGCCTGCATTATCAGCATTATCAGCTATAACAGTTATTAATCTGTACAGACTATGAAGTGCAACAAATGTAGAAGTTTCTCAAAAGAGAAGACAAAAGTCATTCCATCAAAGGCAACCCAAGCTCCCAGGGTAAGAGAATTCACCTTTGAGCAAGCTACCTTA